CCAACATAAAGTACTAGGCACATGCAAAGAATGAACCGAATCGGTCCAAGGGATTTTGAGATATGACTCTGGACGGACGCACAGACGCACGGACGGAGACCGAATTATAAGTTCTCGTTTTTGGACTTCGAATGCATTACTGGATTTATTAATGTCATGTTAACATCTACACAGATTATCATTGTGATTTGGCTCTATTAATAGCAATTGTACAAATGATACAATTTTAACAAACATTAAATAGATATAAATTAAATATCACTGCTTACCTTGTATATGTTATTTTCTGCATCATGAGCTGCAACAAAACTTTTACCCTTAGCACGCTGCACAGACAACATGACAAAGTTGGAGAACTGCTTGAATGCAGCAGGAGTGAAATCAGTTCTGACCTCATCTGTGGAAAAACAGACAATACATGTATATACTTATTGGTAATTAATAGTCAAATATGTAAAAATGTTGACAAACAAGTATATATTTACAAGTATAAACATGGATTTGTTGACTTCATTCATTAGTGATGTTAGATACAAAGTACAAATGTTGACCCAATACATACTGAAAGATGCACAGCATGCAAAAAAATGAATGTTTGGATTCTGGATTGATAGAGGATGATTTTGTTGGTTGCAATGAAAGACACAAAACACAGTAGGTAAAAGAAATGCATTGGAGGAAAGACTTACCAGATTGAAGAAAACTTTCTAATGGCACAGTAGTTCCTGCCAGTAGCTCAAAACTCTGAGATAGGTCAGTGTCTGCAAAAAACATGCTTTGTCGTAATTCAAGCAGCAGACTCCACTTTTTTCCTGATGTAGTATGAACCTACATGTAAACAGACAACAATTATATAATATTCCCTAATATTTGTTTTTGTTCAGGTGTGAAAAATAGAAATAACTTAACAGTCAAAAATTATATTATTATTATTAAATTAGTATCACATGCACAAGTCAATTTGTTGATTTCTTTAATTGAATTCACTTTCTTTGAGATTTTGTTTTGAAGAATATACATTTATTCATGTGCAGAATATGTTCATTTAGGAGTTGAAAATTTTGGTTCATTATAACCTGTGATCAATCGCACAAAACTTGCGATCCCTGCACATTCTGTGTAAATATACAATGTAGATTTCATATGAACAGTAACATAATATAGAATTTGGGATAGACTCTTTATGGAATGCAATGATTTGATGACCGAGCATGGCAACGATCTATGTTCTGGTTAAAACAAAATTGCACAGTCTAGCGACAAGGGAAATGTATATTGTTATCACAGGCCATAAACCATCATTGCATGACAAATATACACTCACTTTTAAACGCACTAAATAAACCATCATTGAATGACAAATATACACTCTCTTGTAAACAAACTAGATAAGCCATCATTGAATGACGAATATACACTCTCTTTTATATACACTAAATAAGCCATCATTGAATGACCAATATACACTCTCTTTTAAATACACTAAATAAGCCATCATTGAATGACCAATATACACTCTTTTAAACACACTAGATAAGCCATCATTGAATGAAGAATATACACTCTTTTAAATACACTAAATAAGCACCATTGAATGACGAATATACACTCTCTTTTAAATACACTAGATAAGCCATCATTGAATGACGAATATACACTCTCTTTTAAATACACTAGATAAGCCATCATTGAATGACGAATATACACTCTCTTTTAAATACACTAGATAAGCCATCATTGAATGACGAATATACACTCTCTTTTAAATACACTAGATAAGCCATCATTGAATGACGAATATACACTCTCTTTTAAATACACTAGATAAGCCATCATTGAATGACGAATATACACTCTCTTTTAAATACACTAGATAAGCCATCATTGAATGACGAATATACACTCTCTTTTAAACAAACTGGATAAGCCATAATTGAATGATGAATATACATTCTCTTGTAAACAAACTGGATAAGCCATCATTGAATGACAAATATACATTCTTTTAAACAAACAAGATAAGCCAACATTGAATGACAAATATACACTTGCTTTAAATACATTAGATAAGCAACAATTTACAATTCTGTGTATTTGAGAGAGTAGCTATATTCTATCAGTATACTGCAGTACCATTTACAATTCTGTGTATTTGAGAGAGTAGCTATATTCTATCAGTATACTCCAGTACCATTTACAATTCTGTGTATTTGAGAGTGTAGCTATATTCTATCAGTATACTGCAGTACCATTTACAATTCTGTGTATTTGAGAGTGTAGCTATATTCTATCAGTATACTCCAGTACCATTTACAATTCTGTGTATTTGAGAGTGTAGCTATATTCTATCAGTATACTGCAGTACCATTTACAATTCTGTGTATTTGAGAGAGTAGCTATATTCTATCAGTATACTCCAGTACCATTTACAATTCTGAAAAACATTTCCGAGAGATGAAAATTAGAGAATCAACTTACCAATAGATATGAAGAAGAACATTGGTCATTTTGAGCAAGTTCCAGAGATTTGATGGTTTCTTCTACGCTAGTGCCAGCTACATCACGCTGTAGTATCAAATCAATGAATACTAATTCACCAAGCTACATGTAGGAAAAATAAAATAAAATACCAGTCATGCTATTTTGCATCTGATCATACAAATCTATGTGCATATGTGTGGCTTGATAGTCCTATTGTGTAAATGTATGCACCAAATTTAAGCAAATCTGTCCACACACAACTGAGATCTGGTTTCAGAATAGCAGAAATATTGCCTTGATTTTAACCATCTTGAATTAGACCATGAAATGAGTGAGCATACATATGTATTTTTTTCAGGTAACTATCAGTGAGGATATGGCATAAACATGAATAAAAACAAAACACCCACAAGTTGGTCATTTTTTTGCGTACCTATAACTAAATAGGAATGATCCTGATAGAAAGTTATATAATTCTGAGAAATGGTTCAAGACACTTTTTAAGGCTTGACTTGCGGACCAAAATGGCTGCCATTTAGCCATATTAAATCAAATGGTAGAGAAAATTGTCTTGCATATGTAAGTCATTATACATGGTATTTGTGTTAAGTTTGAATGTGATATCTGTCAAAGCAGATTAGAGAAATACATGTAGCTCTACAGAAAGCATGGATGAACAAAACGAAAAATAGGGTGTGATGTATACTGGTAATATACGTCACTAGAGAGAGTGATGTATAACGATAATATACGCCCACTAAAGAGAGTGATGTATACTGGTAATATACGCCATGAGAGAGAGTGATGTATAACGGTAATATACGCCCACGAGAGAGAGTGATGTATATGGGTAATATACACCACGAGAGAGAGTGATGTATAATGGTAATATACGCCCACGAGAGAGAGTGATGTATATGGGTAATATACACCACTAGAGAGAGTGATGTATAACAGTAATATATGCCCACGGGAGAGAGTGATGTATACGGGTAATATACGCCACTAGAGGGTGTGATGTATAACGGTAATAAACGCCCACGAGAGAGAGTGCTGTATACGGGTAATATACGCCCACTAGAGAGAGTGATGTATACTGGTAATATACGCCACTGGAGGGTGTGATGTATAACGGTAATATACGCCCACGAGAGAGAGTGATGTATACGGGTAATATACGTCACTAGAAAGAGTGATGTATACGGGTAATATACGCCACTAGAGGGTGCGATGTATAACAGTAATATACGCCCACGAGAGAGAGTGATGTATACGGGTAATATACGCCACTAGAAAGAGTGATGTATACTGGTAATATACGCCATAAGAGGGTGTGATGTATAACAGTAATATACGCCCACGAGAGAGAGTGATGTATACGGGTAATATACGCCACTAGAGAGAGTGATGTATAACGGTAATATACGCCACTAGAGGGTGTGATGTATAACAGTAATATACGCTACTAGAGAGAGTGATGTATACGGGTAATATACGCCACTGGAGAGAGTGATGTATACTGGTAATATACGACATGAGAGAGAGAGATGTATAACAGTAATATATGCCCACGAGAGAGAGTGATGTATAACGGTAATATACGCCCACTAGAGAGAGTGATGTATACT